TGCAACACAAAGTACTGGAGAAATCTGTTGCACATTATTATTATGGATATGTTGCCGTTAGGTAAAGTGATCTCTCGGATTTGGTCGTCTATCCGGATTTCCGCTGCATTTGTGACGGACCAGAAACAGGAGACCAGTAGTTGTTTTTGAGGTTTCGTGTGTCCTATCACTTAAGGTGCTAGGTGAGTTAATTGTGAAGCTGTACAAGAAACGGGAGGTCGGGGGGCAAGCCGGTTTGAGAATTCTCACTTAGGTTTCGTATATTACATGCCAAGTGGCTACGCGTGACCGCCTTTTAGTAGATCAGCACTCCATCCTACTCCCGACCGGTTGCTTCGGGGAGTCTTTTTGCCTTCTAGTATACGGTGGCGTTATCCATTTCGACGCTTCAGATTTATCATTTTGGACCAGGATGACCGTTATAGAAGGGTATTTAGCAACGGTGGAGAGATCAAAGATCTAATGTAGCTGAAAGTCAAAATGTAAGGAGACGTTTGTGTAGAACCAGAAAAGATGTTATCTGAGGAATGATGTCCAGAAGGAAGCGAAGAATAAGGTGGTTGGGTAGTTAAAATAAACAAGAGCCACCGACAAGAGGTGGATTGGTTAGTCTGAAGGAATAATATAGTCCGTTTTCCCTGGTTGAAAAGTGTGTTGGTGACTGAATGGCAGTCAGGTACGTGCAACTGGAGGAGTGTTGTGAAATTTTAGGTTTAACAGTTGGAATATTTTTGATAACGGTTTCCTGACAGGGAGAAAGTTGAAATTCTTTGTAAGATCTTTTGTCTGAATTCAGACAGAATAGTCTGGAGTCCTAACTTTCGCCCCGCAGTCGCCGTGCAAAATAAGTTTGATTCCCGGAATCCAGATAGTGCTTCAGTCAGTAAACCCTGAAGTGTATCAAAAAGCTTCAAAAAGCGAAAAACTGGGCTGGAAAGTAGCAAATAAAATAAATGCTGGTAATATCGGAGACCATTAGAGGGGGGAAAGCTGGACTCTTGTCCTCCTCAGTGACCAAACGTTAAAAGTATAAAGTGTGTGACGTCTCCAGCATTTAGTGTTGCCTTATCACCCTTGGTTTCATATTGTTAACAGGTGTCTTTGCAGCATCTAGGCATTTGGAATGTCTTAGGACGGACTAACTGTCACACTGGTAATAAAAACGCCAAGTGTTGTGAAGTTGGGCTCTGTGTGCATCGAGAAACCCAAGTCTCAGTTTAGTGATGTGAGGGTCCTGCAGTTGTACACAAAAAATATAGGAAACATTTATGGTCAAAAAATTACTGGAAAAATATAATCAGGGATGATGGTCACTTATGCATATAAGGGTCCGAGACTGTCTGTTTCTCAGTATCGAGGGCAGCACCTTAGAACCCGCCAGTAAACGAGCTGCTTCCATGCCCGCCAAGATGATGCAGCACAGTGGAACAGTCCTTTTGAGCACGAGAGAACATTTTTTTACGCCCCAACTTTATACCTGCATCTAGCTGCTCCTAAAGCCCATACTCGTACGCTTCTTGTCTGTATAAATAATGTATATGTCCTCACCAACATCCGTTTTCTGGCCTTTGCACGGAAGTCATTTAAAGCTGGACAATTCGCGCGTAGAGTTGTTTACTACCATGGGTGATTTGAAGCCTTTTGCGGTTGAGGGCGGAATGCACCGTCCCATGGCACACGTAACCTTGCAAACGTGATTTTAAAATGGGTTTTCTCTTCCTGTCAAGCCTGATAAGTTTCCTCACACTTGTGTTCCGCAGTCGCACGAGCGACTGATATGTTCAGTCATCTTAAGTTGCAATGACACTCCCTGTGGATCCACATCAGTTAGATCGTACAAACAGACATGAGGAGAGACGGTAACCAAATGACTGTTCGTGCCTGGTGAAGAAAAAATTGCAACGCTGTTCACAAAGAATTTCCATTTGTGACGATGCGGTCCTCTATCGCGTTCCCGATTTCCCATTTTCCGTTAATTCCTGTTTTGCGACTTGGTTGGAGAATCGGGCTTCAGTAAAGTCGCCGTTTCTTCCAAATGCTTACTTTCAAAAAAATTAGGCACTGGGTAGATGGCATTCATTTTATTGGTATTAACTTTGATAAAGCTTTTGGTAAAACATCAGTTAAGACAAATCTGTCTAAGACGTTTAGTAGTGAAAGCGCGCTGAACTGACGGCATAGCAAGGGAAGTGAGGACACAGATATATGCGCATGTGGCAGACAAGCTACTTCTTGAAATCCCCTCCTACCCTCTCTACCTGCTACTTACTACTTCTTCCTTATTGTGGGGAGACGCGTGGGCTCCAAAAGTTGGACTTGTTTTAAACCAAACTAAACTCTCGAAGGAACAAACCTACACTGCGACCACCTGTTGTTGGTGGACGTGTTATTACATCTGCAACAGCAAACCAAAGAAATGAATAGTGTTCTTTGGACTATGGCTTCGTAATTATCAAAACCTGGGACATATTACGAAAGCTACCAGAAGTGTCGTACCCACCAACCACAAGGCTATCGCTATCGGTTGAAAAGGGCAGACAAGATATTGTGGACTCACACCTGGTGTGTCTGAACAAACCGTTCGCATTTTGATGCTGCAGTTGCAACGTGCGGATGTTTGACTCATAGTCGTAGTATTTAGCAAGATTGTCAATCTTTGATGTGAGGTAATGCGAGAATGCATGAAATCCATGGTGCTGCACCCACTAAAAGACAATAAGTACCAAACCATATGCATATGATCAGTCTCAGACTTTTCATCACCAGTAGTTGGAAAACATACGGAGGAAAGCAATGGAAGTATTGGCTTCTGGCTTCACGCTTCTCTGGGCAATATGTGGCGAGCCTAAACGCACACCCTGCTATTTCTGTTGGTGGGAAGGTGATACTTTCACGTGTTCATCGTGTGAATTTGCGCGTACTTGTTCTACCGCCATGCACAGTTCTTATCTTCCAGTGAACTAGTAGGTGGAGATCGAGGTTGCCCAGTCCAAAGAAACATAGAAATTTATCTACAGCCGTAAAAATTCGGGAATAAATATCTGTGGTGTATACCGTGTTTAAAGAAAACAAATAATCACACCTAACAATCGGCTATCATGCCGATAGTCTACAGCTGGAGTCATATAAAGGGAATATGCTAAGTACCTAATGGATTTAGGCAGCCTTACTGAGCGTCAGATTGACTCCCTAAGTCAACCATACGCGAGAATTTGGATTTGACTCACATTCAGTAGACCTCACTTCTTCCCACATTTCGCCTTCAGGCAGTCTGTCAAAAAGACCAAAGTCTGCAGTAGCCGTTTGTTTTATGAGCAAACAGGGTGCATCTGGTAGCAGACGGTTTCAGCTTGTGCACATTTTGTCGGTGTAGATGCCGCCATTTGGGGATACGGATGGGTCACTGTGATCAACCCTGGTTTGGAGTCGCTCCACTCCATACGTGTCGCTGAGACTCCTAGTTCACCCTGGTCATAAGATGCACAATCTACTCTAGGAATTTCTACTTGTACTGATGATCGTGAGTGCCGAAAGAACCCAGTGTTTTAATCATGAGGACATTTCGTTAAATAAGAATTGACTTTCAGTTTCGTTGTGAATAATTGTTCATTTGAAGCTGAAGTGTGCTGTTTTAATTTCCGATCATGTTAAGATGTGTTACGTGTAGCTGTTGGCATTTCACCGGTAGTGGCCTAAGATATAGGCATCGTATTTGCCTCGTGAATAACTTGCGTGGTTTTGATTTATGTTTTGGCGCCTGCACTCTTCATTTCACCATTTTTAGACGGTTTCAGATGGCCACTTGTCTTCTCAGACCCTGTAGGCCTGGTCGGAGTCGAGAACAGGCCGCTTTTGTTACGAATAGTGGGTGGTAAAACTCTGTCTTTGGTGTTCTTTTCTGGCACACTCATCAAACCTTTTGTCTCTTTGGTTAATAATGGGATAAATCCTAAAGACTTATGAACTCTTAAAGTTATCGCCTCACTAAAGTGGACCAGGACTTCAGTCACAACAGCTGTCTGCACCTGGAATGTGATTTGGGAGTTCCTTCTGTTTGCCGGTTTTCAACCCTAGATCCATTGTTTTCAAGCGCTACTGGTTAATTTTACATTCCCCTGTTAAATTTCTTGAGATCAGTCATTACGCCCCTCCTGGTTTCCGTCGACATAGTCAAGACATCTCTCAAAAAATCTTCTACTTCCTACCTGCGCATGTCATGGCATCAGTTGGCTTCACATTCGCTTCATGACCACCTGAACGAGTTGACGAAAACCCTACTCTTTAGATGTATACGGCCTAGCAATCACAACCAAGATAATGTACGGCAAGATAGGCGCTAAATGTATTCTGGAAAACGATACGGAGTATACGACTAAGGCGAAGAAACTTGCACGAAATTAGGCGCCTCGGTTATGCCTTAGTATTCACATTAATTTAGAGGCCAATTCAGAACACTTTTAAAACTTTCTAACGTGTGGCTGGAAGACAATTGCCTTTGATAAAATAAGAATTTTGTTGCAGCAAATGCTAAAGTGGTATATAGCAGGGAAGGATTATATTTCTTTTCGATAGAAGAGCGAATGGTCTACAAAACATGGAATAAAGAAATTCTACAGAGAATCTTTAAACTGCATCAATATACGTTCAGCCAAACAGCTAGAAAACGCTACTTTCTAACCTAAACAAGTGTTGATCAGTGAAGCGAGTGTAAATGAGTAGAATTCTAACCAGTGTGTATTAGGTTCAGTGAGCACGACACGTGTTGCGGTATTTAGTCTCAATTTGTCTCTGACTGCAGATTATTTTTCGGTAGACAAATATTGTACGTTTTGACGAATGTTTCAATAATCCTTCTTTGACATAATGCTGCATAGAAAGGACTAAATATTTGTGATTACAGACAGCCCACGTATTTGGAAGGCGTGACAATGTAAAAAATTGGGTTTTTCATTGACTTCATCACTTCATGTACTCTTTGTTATACTGCGGACCATGTACACATAGGTCAAGTGTTTGATTTAGGCGCAGTATCTGATTGTTTACCCACTTGTGTGATGTTTGATCTGTGTGCAAGGTATTCTTTCTTTGCATACATATTATATTTCCTAATGTACGTGGCGCGGTTAACAGTTCGTTTTTTTCAGGAATGTGAAACATACGATTGAATATTACATTCTTTACGAAAGGGGTGATCATGGTAAGTTGCATATTAAAAAATTCATCTTTGCCGTGTTTTTGACGTCATGTTTTTACCCTTATGATAATTTCAATAAGGAACACAAAATAAAAAAATATTGGGACGCATTAATTGTGCTAGTCATGCATGGAATTTTAATAATACATACAATTGTTTGTATTCACGTTATCATGAAGTGAATTGTTTGCTTATATAGAATTCGAATCTTCTAGAGAAGGTACACAGAAAGGGGACCATATATGTTATTACGCTGGTCTTATTTTGTTCTTATCTATTGTAAGTAATGAGGTCGAAGGGTAACATTGTTTTCGATTGCTTACTAGATTAATCTTTCTTGAAAATAATTACAACCTACCCAGAATTCAATGCTCATTTGTAACTTAAAGAAAATATCACAGCAAAACGAATGACACCGGGGCTGGACCAAACCTCTCTTACTACGGGTATGTGTCCACGGGAAGTCGCAGCGTTCTCCACATTGGGGTCATTTAAAAGGTTGTTGGATTAACATATTGGGATATATGGTTTGCCTTTGACCTACGGAGGAATTCTGCGGCCTCAAATATACAGTCTTCCTCTCCCCTTTTCTTGGTTTGACTTCCTATAGTTAATGACTGCTATCAAATATTCACGTAGTTCCTTTCCCCGTTAGATATAATTAGCTTCTTGTCTCGTCTTGATAGTTTCTTAGTCTGTAGTGGATACTACAATTTAAAACTGCCATACAAACAGGGCTTGAATGAAAGCCAGTAATCTTTGCAGAAGCTTCGCAGCCTCTTTACCCACACAGTCTATGAAGTAAGAGAAATATCCCACCGACCCATCCCCAAAAGTTAACTCAGGAAAGCAGATTAAACTTCTGCACTCATCGAAGTAGTAAAATTGAACAAAAGGGATTCATTATCAAGATGTAAGAGATCAATTACTGTCAGTCGGCTATACTTGCATAAAAGGCATTGGATGATGATGCCATTTCAAAAAAGTAACGCTTACTGATTTGTTCTCATCATCAGTTCAGATAGTGGTGCTGTAAGTAGTCGACTGTTTGACTAATTTACTCAACCCACTAATGATGGTCACAAAGTGGTAGTTTGAGTACCGACCGAGCAAACAAAGAGAGCACGGGAAGGTGTGGTCACACGTTTATTAGCCTTCTGTTTACCCTTGAAACTTCCCACCAGCCTTTTTCTCACTGAGCACAAGTGGTGTTACGCTGTTAGCACTCTGTTTGTAGCCAAGAAAAGTTACTCTGAAGTATGTATTCCTTACCTTTTTCAGTTAAATATCATTATCCCCATCCAAATGCGGCTTCTCAAAAAGCTGTGTTATTCCAGCGTAAAACTCGATACCATTGTTTTGTGTTAACCGGTATTTAACTGAGTCAGATCAAAGCATAGCTCACCTTTTGTACATACATAGTCTAATTTTCGCTTTGTTTTGTGAACGCTAAATAGACTGAAACTTGTATTTCCTCTCAACTTCTTAGGGTAGTTAACGCATGATTATCTGTTTTCATGTCATTTAAAAATGCTTTTCCACACAATTTTCTCTTACCACCATGTAGGTAATTTTATTTTTTGACGTTAAAAGGCCGTCCAACACATCCATTCGAAGTCGATAGCTCAGGCTCTTGAAAGTGACTGAAACTTCTTCAATACCCAGTCCTCAAGTTCTTTTCAAAAATTTGTCTAATTATGGGTTAAAGTATTCAGCATCTATACCTTCCGGTGATTTAGATAGATGCCGTAGATTGCATCACAAATCAATGGATCGAATACAGGATAGAACAGACGAAAAATAATAACAACCTGTCTATCCATGTTTCGTCTCATTAGGTGGATATTTATTTATTCGTTGTTCTTAATCCAAGTTTTTGAACTTCCTAGTATCCTTTTTCTAGAATGCTAGCTTATATGTTATGTCTTGAAGTCACTTGTATCGCACTGAATGGGCATAGTATGACAAATGCACGTAGGATAGACATTCATGTGTGTTGAAACCTGCTACTCATATTACTTACCAACGATTGTTGTTGACAGTGAGTTTACAAGTAACTCGCGTATTTCAGTACTGATGCATTCGAACCAGCGTTTACAATTGGAAGTAATCTCTACTGAGCATGGTATATTTTGGTGTTGGACTTTATACATATCATAAGGAGTCGAATCTAACCGACAGGGACTCAGAAGCCTTGCGCACACTTGTGAAGTTGGCAATGAGCCACACATATGGTGTGGGGGCTAATAATGCTATCTAGTTGCCCAAACCCCGATAGATAGAGTGGTGCTCAAACCTGTAACCCATTGGTTAAAAGTCATCTCCCTAAACCAATGAGCCTGGCCTAGGCACTTGCCTGCTAGCTGGTGGGTTATAGGCTAGAGTCCTACGTGGCCCGCTCCACCTGTCCCTATCTGATTACCTATGTAGTATCGCTAGGACCCACACGAGTGTAGTTCGTGAACCCGTTCAATAATCATAAAGAGAAGTTGATGAAACCTCAAGTTTTTCTGACTCAGGTGGTTGAGATTGGTTCCATATATCCAGTAGCCAGAAATTTTAATATGCTTTATCAGTTGAATCAAATACGCGACAAAGTATCCGTTATCTTTTGTTTGGGTTTTAGTTAGTGAATATGAGTTATTAGCTAAAATCTATAGAAAAAGCACCATGGACAGGTTAAAACTTTAGGTGTATAGATTGGTCTACATTGAAATGGTAAAATTGGACTCATCAAATGTTATTCGATTTTTATTTACTGTACCCGTTAATTTGGCCACCGGGAGAACCAAAATCCTTATGTAACTGGACGTGAGCCTATTTTTTATGCACGCGGCACTTCCTTGGTTTAGAATCTGGTTGGAAATCTTAATAATTGTGCTTCAAATCTTTCAGCGGAAACATTTTAACTTGTTAGTCAATAAATATCTACATAGTACCTAGCATTACTGCGTAGCGGATTAAGTTGGCATACATACCGGCAAATAAGGGGAAATGGTAACAAAAGATGTAGTAATGAGGGAAATAATGATAGGAAGTTATTAAGAGGAGCAGGAGGGGATTAGATAATAATGAAGTTCTATTTGATGGTTAAGATGAAGATAATGCGTGAATACATCTACTCCAGAGATCAATTCTGGGTCACATCACTTTGAGTTCCTAACCACAAATCTCCATAGCCACACAGACCTTGATTGTAAACTCTACGTTCACATACACGGCTGAGACCAACAGTCAAAGAACTCTTGGACTGTTGCCATGTCTCAGTCTAACCATCTTTTTACAGTCAACATTGTGCTACGAGGGAGACGGTGACCAGGTATGTGTCTCGTATCTCAGCCGTCTTATTCGGTGAAGTTTCCCAACCCCACCAACTGATTTTCCTCTTCTGAGTAAAACCTTTCTCCTTAAGTCTACATTACTAACATCGTAACATCAAGACAGCCCATGCTGCGAAGGCGATGATTGCCGAACACCTAAAACTTCACGTGCTTTAGCTTCAATAGCCATATTTCACAGCCATATATTAGAAAACAACTGCAGCGTAGTACACTCAGCTTTTAAAAGACAATCGGGCATCATGCCGGTGCCATAAGTTGCGTAAGTTGTTGAAGGTCAATCGAGTCCTTTATGTTCATTCAAAATCCTTATGTAACTGGACGTGAGCCTATTTTTTATGCACGCGGCACTTCCTTGGTTTAGAATCTGGTTTCGTCAGTTACTGACCCGTCCCACCTCCTCTGCCTCCACTCCCTGATATCAATATAAAGCTTCTTGTGACTTCATCCACCTCTCATACTGCAACCAATACTGTCCAAACCTATCCAAACCAGCAAAATAAGATTCCTTATCACCTAAAACCACTCCATCAATTTCATATTAAAGTTTTCAGCATCCAAACATTAGGGCGAATGAGATATCAGGCATCTTTTGTCAAGATTCTGGAATCGTAAGCCTTTAGTGAATGTTGTTTCTGAGATTCGCACGCGGGACCAAAATATCGTCATTCACTTGGCCATATCTGGCCAATGTGATGAATGTATAAAATTTAATTTACCAAGATTCAATAGCTCTCGTGGACTCTCTGGTGCAGGTATACAATTAAGTTGTCGTGCAGAAAGTGTTCCTTCTCGACTGGATACGAGTCAACAGCTGTCTATGCGTTGTCCAACTGAATGGACCTTCGAGAGCTGAGAAGGATCGTAACACTCATCGAATCTTATTATTAGTCTCCATCTACGCACCCACTGACGGTAGTTCGGACAGCACATAACGAGTTCTCTCAAAAGCCGTTATTTTGTTACGCAAAGCGAAGCGTTCATATGTAGTCATAATAGCAGATAAGTTCAACGCTAAACTATGGAAGCTGAGCTAGTTTGAAAGATATCTTGAAGGTATCTAAGATATCGCTTGCCAAAGAACTACTAACGGTGATCGTTTCTTACAACTGTGCTCTGACAATCACTTGTTTCTGGTCATTACTAACCTCAGGCATGAGAAAAGTTATATTCAAAATGTAAAATGGACCAATCAGCGTTCAGTATCCTAAACTGTGGTAAAAATAAGCAACATAGCATGGCTCAAAATGGGCGCGAAATAGGGCTTAGACTTTACAACGATAATATAACCATGTTATAAGTTAGTTTTCTTAGGGACTAGCCAACCCTAACATTTACTGGTCTCAATCAAACAGACAGCAGTGCAACCTCACTAGGCCCGACAGAAAAATGAGGACATCAAGTGTATATTCAGAGAGGAGGTAGCTTAGTATTTATCTGCATGTGACGGCAATTCTCATCTTGATGAAGTCTGAATTTATGTTCTGTCTGCTGTAGAAGGACGAGTATACTGCTCTGCTGCAGTCCTTTCCTGTTATACGGCAGTGAGACATGGCCACTAAAAGCAGAACGTAGGAAGAGACTGCGCATTTTTGACCATCGGTGTCTTTGTAGCATTGCTTGCGTGTGGTGAAATCAGCGTGTGAACAATGTTGAGGTTAGGTGTGGCTCACTAGGTAAGAATGACAAGTGAGTTTATGAGGTTATGAACGTTCGGCGACTGAGATGGCTTGGATATGCTTTACGCATGCCTAGCCACTAGCTGCATCGACGTGCAGTACTTGCCTGAGTGAGACTAAGTTTGAAGGAAGCCAAAGGAACTGACCGAGTAAATAATAATAATAATAATAATGCGATAAGATATAGACTGGATACAAATAACGATTGTTCTATCTCCCCTTTACTTTACTGAGTCAGAAGATGTGACTGGTCTATGACTGTAAGGAAGACACTTTATTCGACAAAATACATCATTTGTATACAGTGTTCATCAACGTACAAAACCATTAGGTCGAAAGTCAAATGAACTTATTTTGATTGGTCAACCGTAGGATAAACTGTTCAATAAGTTTTTTTCCGACCACAAAGATATGTGATGAAAATTGACATCCATAACGTCTACTTTAGCGGCTAATGATTTAAGGTGTTGATTTCCATTTAGGCCGCTTCCTATCAGTAAAGATTACCAACTGATGTGACATCAGTCAATGCAGTGTTTGACTATTAGTTTAAGCTGAATGGGGAGGTATAGACTGCCTGATTGGAGTCCTTAAGACGATAAGAATGAATGGTTGGCGACTGTTGGAGACATCGTTACAAATCAGTTGTAGTGGTGCGAATATATTCGCCCTTTGACGTTTTCTAAATTTAGAATATTTTTTTTAATCGTATTTTTCAAATTCTTTCTCCTCCCATACAGCTTTGTCTACTTTTATATGCCTATTTTCCTTACTTGTTCTTTGAATGTGGTCCTGAATTGTGGCAATGTGAACGGATGCACTTTTGTGTGATATTCTGCGTTGGTTTTGTCTGTCTGTTCATGATAGCTTTTTTTTATATACTGTTTTGTTAGTCATAGAAGACAAGTAATGGTAACCCTGATTTTCTTGTGCGTAAGAGTAAGATAGTGGAGGTATTCGAATCTCACTATGCATAACACTATCAATAAATCTGATAATTCTGAGGAAGGCTTTGATAAATTTATTAGGTTTCATTATTCATAGTGAAAACCACTGAGTGATAATCCACTGTGTAAAGAATTCTTTGAATGATTTTCGCAGGAAATATTTTCTTATACTTTGTAATTAAATATACAGAATCGTGCTATTTTTAGTAGTTCGACTGTTGCATCATAGTATCAGTGTACTGTTTTAAAAGGATAGAAATGCTTCTAAACAAAATCAACATTGTAACTTCTAGACTTTGATGTAGTTGACTTATTTTTTCTATCTTTCCTATTTTAGGTCCAGTTGTTAAAAAGTGCTATCCCAATAATCTGTCTGGGGTTTATACTGAACGTATTGTAGAATTTGCATTTTGCTGTAATGAGTAAGGTGTAATAAAGCTTCTATTCATAAATTCTCCACGAGTAGACGCTTTTCTGTAGAAGAATTTGTAATTGTATTTACTGATGCTAAGGGAACATTGGAATTTGTTTTCTGTTATCAACCAAATGAAAAGTTCCTGCTATGTATTTCCAGGTAAATAGCGTTTTTTATGTATGACATTTCCTATAGAACATTACAGTCGAAAGTCATAAAGGCAGTGGAAGGGTTTAGTTGTTGCCGTGCGTAGTAATGTTGTTTCAGTTTTTTGTGTTTATCTAGTTTCACACCTAGTTTACGGAACTTCCTGGGAGAAGTGTCACCTAAACTGACTGAAGCAGCATACATTAGAGTACAGTAATATGCCATTTTCATCCTCCACAGTGTCAAAGAAGAGAATCTTCATAAAGAGATTTTAAAACTTTCAGATGAGATGAAAAAAGTCATTTGGCTTCCTGAACAAAATGAATAATGGAAGGAATATATATCAACTAGCATAACTTGTGGAAGTTTAAAGTACCAACTAATTCTAGTTCTTCACCTTAATCTTTGAACCTAACGTTGCAATCTCTTACTCAGTAGTTACAGCTCAATGGCCAGACGCATACAGCCTTGTCATGTGGATCCCACTGACAGCCATACTATATAACCGTTTGCATACGTAATAGGTGACTCATATTTTTGTTCGATGGGATACTGGCAACCTAACGAAACTCAACACTTATAGATGCAAGAAATGTAGAGATTTTGTCATTCCTAGTTGTCATTGCATGCAAATCGATATTACTGAAGGAGTTCCTTGACAAACTACTCAGTGAACTAGACAAAGTGACTTGCTATTTTCAAGCTCATACAACTGGTCATCAATTTTTACCTTTCATCTTGTCTATTGTGCTTTGGTCTAACTAAAAATAACACATACTGTCGTTAGTTAGGTGGTTATATCGATCAGTGAAAGTTTTAGCCACTTATATGATTAGTGACTTCTGAAAGCCAACAACTGGATAGCTAAAAACTGCACTTAAGTGTACTTGCATTCACTTTATGGACATCAGTTCTGTTCGACAGTGGTTAGTACGGAAGTCAAAGAAGTGATAGTGTGTTGTGTGTTTTTCCAAACTTTTTAATATTCTTTTCACGACTTTTCACACACTTTTATTACAAATTGAATTCACTCAGTGTCAGCTACTTGTTCTCTAAATAAATTAGCTTGTGATATCAATTTGCTGGCTCACTTTTGTATATCAAGAGGATGACTTGATCACTTCAAAAGCTTTTTAACCGTTTCTTCCTATAGTAAACCTATAAATTCTGTCTCTGATTGTCTCATTCGAGACTATATCTGTACAATTGACATAGAATGTAACGCTTAAAAGCAAATGATCTAAAAGCTTAACACATATCGTATCCAGTTTATGGTAAGCTGTTTTTCAGCTCTGAAGGTGATTAGATGCTGCTACTTTTCAAGGGTATTTGTTAAGTTTGGCTAGGGTATAGAGATACGGACTAACGTTTTGATCACTATGTTAGGTATAACTGCCCTTCTGAATAAAGATAAGTCAAAGAAATCCAAGTATATGACTTTTTTTTACATAATACCATCACTCTCACAGTGATATGATTTTATTTGTCTGACTGCGATTAGGTTTATCAGTCTTCCAAAGCAATGATTATTAATTATTATTTGTCCCTTGGGTTCCTAATGGAACATGGGGCTTCAGTAGCACATCTCCACTCCACTCTGTTCTATACAATCTTTTGAACCTGACTCCACGACAGCCCAGAAGCTCTCATTTATTCCTCACACGATCTCCTCCATGTCACCCTCGGACACCCAACTTGCCGTTTCCCATCTGGGTTCCACTCGATGGCCTGGCCTAGCGCGTGATGTCTCCGAATGGTCTTCTCAGTGCATGCCCAATCCATCTCCACTTCCTTCTGCATATTTGTTGAGCGTTAGGTTCTTGGTTGGTTCGTTCCCAGAGTTCCTTGTTGCTCATTCTTTCTAGCCATCTGAGCTTCAGTCTCGAGTCATCGTAGGCAGTTTTTGATGAATATGTGTAGTTTGTTGGAAATGCTTTTCGTAACGCTCCAAGTCTCTGAGCTATATAGAAGCACTGACTTGACATTAGTGTTGAAAATCCAGATCTTGTTCTTTATGCTGAGTGGAGTGCAGTAGATCTTCACACTGGTTTCAAGTTAATGAAAGCCTGTTTTGCTGTCTTTCCGATCCTGGGTGGATTTGACGTCCTCGTCTGTGCCGCCTGTAGTTGAAACAGTGCTTCGTAGATAGGTGAAGGAGGCTACTTCCTTTAAGTTTCTCCCGTTGATGGTGATTGGGGCTTGTTGTTGTTGCTGGTTTTGTTGGTTGGGTATCTTCATCACCTCTGTCTTCTCTACATTCACTTGAAGTCCCGTCTTTGCTGCCTCTTCTGTCAACTTGTTAGTTTTTGCCTGTAGATCTTCGAGTTTGTGCGACATTAGACACAAGTCATCATTGGCGAAATCCAAATTTTGTAGGATCTTTTTCCCGGTTCAGCGTATCTTCCTCTTCTTGCTCCTCACTGTTTGCTGCATGATCCACTCCAGTCGACCACGATCAGGAATATCATGGGTGATAGTGGACAGCTTTGTCTTACCAGTTAACCTGTCTTCCCCTCAAAGGCATCACTGAGCTTCCCATTGTGAAATACTTGGCATGTGGCGTCTTCATATAGTTGTTGAATGAGGTTGATAAAGGTTTGTGGTATTCCGTAGTGTTGAAGCAGTTGCCAAATTACTTGTTAGTCGATGCTGTCAAAGGCCTTTTCAAAGTCGATGAAGTTGAGGTAGACAGTTGACTGGCATTCTATGCTCTGTTGTATGATGATGCCTGGCGTTGGAATTTGGTCCACATATGATTTATACTTCTCGAAACCAGCTAGCATGTTCCGGTCGTAGTTTTGACTCCAGCGCATCCCCAAAGCACTGAATAGAGTAGTTTTTGCCTATATTGAACTATTGGCCATGTTAGTTTCTTGATTAATATATCTGAATACCTAATAATAAATGCTTATCTTTCTGTATTCATCTTGAAAAACAGAGATTCGAAACGAAAAACATTGAGATCGAAATGCACTCAGCAACTTTGTGTGCATTCGTGCAGTAGGCAGTGGACCACATGTATTGTTTGAGGGATAATAATAATACTTGGCTGCCTGAACTTTATGAAGTGGAGTAGTGCTCGAACCCGTGATTTATTGGTTGAAAATCATCTCCTTAGACCAGTGGATCACATCTCCACGAAACAGGGATTCTGTTAGCATGGCCATGATCCTGTGGTTGTAGTTTTTAAACACATCTAGACCCTCATATTTCATGGTGTGCGGAGTCTTTGATATCTATTTGCTTCTTAGTTGGTGCACTCTCTGAAAGTTTGTGACGCACTTTTTTGGGTTAGATTGTGTCCATACAACAGATATGTATGCGCCGTAACCATCAGTTTGAACAGAGAAATTTTTGTAAGTTTCATGAGATCGTGTTGTGTAATTAAAAGTTTAAAAATATAAGTCTAAGCTTTTCGATTGAGTTTTCAAAGATTCATTCAGTGGGATAACGTTTTCGAATGAATTTAAGGAATAACTAAACTTTCTATTCTGTATATACCACTTGTGGAAATTATTAATTAGATTCTATTTGTCAGTCAGCAGCAGCTGATAACCAGACTATATTCATCTAAAAAACGATATTGATTCAAAATGTTTGTTAGGTGGTAATTCTATTATGGACGTCTAGTGCAATTACAATTTTTGACTTCAGTACTTGTTGCCTATGAGAAACCATCCAATTTGGGTTTTGATGGATTTAACATTTTTTTTTTTTAATATCTTGACCGACAACGCTTATCCTTATTCCAACCGAGCCCTTTATAATTATTTTATTATTAGTCCCTTGGGTTCCTAGTGGAACACAAGGCTTCGGTAGCACGTCTCCATTTCATCCTGTTCTCTGAGATCTTTTGAACCTGGTTCCACGACAGCCCACAACCTCTCATTTCCTCCTCGCACGATCTCCTCCATGTCACCCTCATCTCAGACGCCCAACTCGTCGCTTCCCATGGGGATTCCACTCGAGGGCCTGGCTGGTGCGTGATGTCCCCAGTCGGCCTTCTCAGTGCATGTCCAATCCATCTCCACTTCCTCCTGCATATTTGTTGGGTGATAGGTTCTTGGTTGGTTCTTTCCCAGAGCTCCTTGTTGCTTATTCTCATTAATCTGGCCATCTGATCTTCAGTAGAGAGTGAGCGTAAGCAGTTGTTGATGAATGTGTGTAGTTTATTGGAAATCCCTTTCGTGACGCGTCAAGTCTCTGAACCATACAGAAGCACTGACTTGACATTGGTGTTGAAAATCCGTATCTTGTTCCACATGCTGAGTGCAGAAGATCTCCACACTGGTTTCAGGCTAATGAAGGCCTGTCTTGCTTTTCCGATTCTGACTTTGACATCCTCATCTGTGCCGCCTGTAGTTGAAACAGTGCTTCGTAGATAGGTGAAGGAGGTTACTTCCTTTAAGTTTCTCCCATTGATGTTGACTGGAGTTTGTTGTTGTTGTTGTTGGTGGTGGTTGGGTATCTTCATAACCTCTGTCTTCTCTATATTCACTTGAAGTCCCGTCTTCGCTGCCTCACGTCTTCTGTCAACTTGTTAGTTTTTGCCTGTAGATCTTCAAGTTTATGTGACATCAGGCACAAGTCATCATTGGCGAAATCCAAGTCTTCTTGGTTCTTTTCCGTCGTCCAGCGTATCCCCTTCTTCTCGCTCCCCACTGTTTGCTGCATGATCCACTCCAGTCGACCACAATCAGGAATGTCATGGGGGATAGTAGGCAACCTTGTTTCACTCCTGTCTTCACTTCAAAAGCATCATTGAGCTTCCCATTGTGAATTACTTGGCATGTGGCATCTTCATATAGTTAACCAGGCGAGGTTAACCGAACCCTTATGACAGTGAATTTTTCATTGGGTCATCGAAAAAGAAAAGACTTCAGAGAAAAATAAAATTGTTTTAGGTGATACCATTCTCAAAATCTCTACAATTGTATATAAAAATAAGTAATAGGCATGTTTAATGATGAAAAATGTGAACTTGTTTCGCCAAATATTAGTTCTTAGTATGTTGTGATCGGGACAATAATGTAAGGAGTAAAATTACGAGGAAAAAGTCTAAAATACTTGATAATGTGAATAAATATACTTTGAAATTAATGAAGGATACGTAACAAAGTGAGTAGAAACTTGTCATTGAAGCAGAGGAGGAGAAATTACGGAGTTAAAAAGTATACGTAAGAACAAGAAGTGGTCAGTTTTGGCTTGCTTAGTAACTGGACAGTTCAAGAAATTAAGAAATTGAAAATTGTTTGTTTTCGGAAGCACAATTCCGGTTTTGACTTCGACATCTTCAGAGCTTCAAAGTGCAAAGTCAGTTTTTCTTTATACCCTTCGGAAGACCGCTGTAAATCAGTCGTCTGGATATGTAACTAAATGTTATAAAGTGAAGCTCTTGGTCGATCTGTATTAATCATTTTAGAAGGTTTCGACATCGACATTGGGCAGTCTATCTCCCGGTATGACCAATCTTTCTAGCTCCACAGAATCACTTGAAGTGATATGTACATATACAAGTGACCAACAGTGACAGTTTGTCTCTTGTATGTGTGCTCATTATTGGTCGGTTAGTGTAGGTGATTTGCAGACTGGCTAAATAGGATGCTGTTTGTACAACTTTTTTTGGTGCGTGTTTTCAGGCCCCATCTGCTGCATTTCTGTTAAAATCCAAATGCAAAAGCAGCTTATTCACATCGATACGTAACTGATGAATAACATTTCGATCCAGACTTTTAACTACGAATCTTTCCAGATGTCTACTTCTAATAAACACATATTAGAAAATTGTTGTCTTAAACGTTTGGAAATAAAAATCCTCCACTGTCGAGGAAAGGGAATTGATTAAGTTTCTTTTCCTACTGGTGGGAGTCCATCTATGAAAGTCTGTTATTTGTTCATTACATATAAATTTTCGATAAATTGACCTTCTGAATATCCGACCATCTCTTGTCAACAATATATTGAGGAATTATATGTTTAAGTGTGACTCTACTTTCATTGCAAAATTGATCGAGAAATGACATTCATTAGGAAACAACAGCACTTTTTGTAAACCGAAATTCTCGTCACAAGCAATGCATATATATTGATATTGAGTATGATCGTTTCCAGTTTGGACATAACAATATTTAATAACAGTAGACCTTATAACATTGAACACATTGAAAGATTAGCTATGATTTGTTGTTTCATTAAATCTTATTACAATAATCTCCGTCACAGTAAGTGAATGATTGACCAAACTGACTGATATACCGAAACGAACACTAAATACTTCTTGCCAATTCCTTTTTAAATGGGTTCATTCCTTATCATAAGTTTAGGAATAATTAACATGAAAATTGCTTCTCTGGGTCCTATGCTTGTTGGGAGTCTTCAGTATAGGATAGACGCTAAATTGAGAGGTTTCATGTAGCACTATGAAGTCATATAACCTGAACCCATTCAGCAATATACTGAGAAACGTTACTAACGAGTAAATCTGGTTACCTTATTGAACTGTAGGTTGATCACTTGGTCAGTGTTTAGTAAGTACCAGATTTATTGCTCATTGGAAGCATTCTACTAATGAGATTGCACTGTATTGTGATCTATGGAAACTAAAAGCTTCTGTTTTATAACCTTCATCAGCTGTTTATCACCCTCTGGCAAGTAATGTTGTTTGCCTAATTCTTTTTTTGTTATATAGCAAGCTTCCTTGGTGTGAATGTTTCCACTCTCTGCTAAATATTTTGTGGCGTCATGGTCTTTATCGTGATGTACACTGGTCTATTATGGAACCATTTTTTTCACATCTATTTTCTACCACTCCACCTCACTTACCTATTGATCAAATTCAGTGCGCAAATCCGTTTAACCCAACAGTGGTATGTTTCATTCTATTTATCATTTGGATCATTGCTTACTTTTAATCATGTTTTTTGCCATAAAAAGGGTACAGCATCGTAGGTCTACTATTATTAGATCACAGCTTTGAACCCCTCCATTATCTTCGACCAAAACATCGAATACTATCATGACTCGCAACTCAGTACATACTTCGTACCGAGTTTTTGAGTGGATTATTACTGCTGACCAACAAGTTACTAATTTGGCTGATTATGCTAAAATATTTATGAATCTAACCATAAACCATAAGCGAAATCAAGTCAGTATTACATAATAAACAGGATCTACCATTTATATGTTTATAAATAATTTCCGTGAAGTGTGAATCAACTTTGGCTTATCGGTTTACATTTCATGGGTGACCTAGTCTTCAGTAAAGGGATATAATTGCCCAAAGTGTACAATGGTGCGAATAGTATGCAGGCTAAAAACACTTCGTATTATTATTGTCTCATATATATTCTTTTCTTAAGATAGATAATTATTAGTGTAAAACTTGGGCACTATGGTAGAGTATAATTATATATTGGATCATTTATTTGGTGGATAACTTTGATATGTTTATGAGCAGTAAATTCTGCTCCAAACACCATCCAGTGAAAAAATGCCTTATCACTGTTTGGTACTGTAAGAAAACGGAAAAGGATTAAACTCAGAAGAATGTTTATTATGACACTGAGTACATTACTGATGAAATGTACACTTTCCGTTGAAATATTCATTTGTAAAGTGTGTTTCGTTTCCTCTTCTTCTTCTACTTCGTTTTGCTTTTCATACACCGACGATCTGTTACGTTTTTCTGTGCAGAATATTTATTCATCACTCATCACTGTCATAAATGCTTATGACTTCTGCCATATACTACCACATACTACTTATATCCATTCTTATCAGTAGCACGCACTACACTATCAAATAAACCATCGTATACGAATAATCTTAATTTACAATGAATTGTTCCCCTTATGTCACCATTGCTAAAGGAGATTCCCTGGTTCCTGGCAGACTTATCTGATGGGGAGTTGTGGCTTAGTGGTTTAGGGAGTCACGCGTTAGGACTCCGCTTCAGGTAGTTTTACTAACCCTCACAGAATAGGTATGGCCAATGACCTACTTCACAGATGTGCACAATGTGGCGGAGTGCGTTACGTCTTCCCTTCCAGTAGTCACGTCGTCAGATCGAAAAATAGTACCAATCTATAAATTCCTCATTTGTTGACCTTTGTAAAAAAACTGTAGGCTTCTTAATTGGTGTATACGAAACAATCGATCGCTGTATCTGCAACTTTAGACTATATAACTCAAAATCGATCCCAATGTGAGATTTCCAAACACACCGTAATATTATAACAATCCTACTGCTGTATATATGTTTTGCTCTTTCTTATTAATTTTTTACATCAGTTTGTAGTTTTTTCTCCGTCCATGACAATATTTTCCTTCGGTTGCGTTTTCCATTATTGGCTTCCTCTTTAATTTGATGATGATGTAGTTTTTCAGTTTGAAAGAATATTCACTTTTACCAGGTCCCATATTTTAGGGCTTATTATACCATGAGTTAACTACTTCTTGGCATAGATAATTAACAACTGATGTCTCCTTTATACTTTTAGGGCTTTGTGCTTCGTATCCCAACACCTCAATCCCCACACTATTTGGTGAGTTGGTTGCATTTGTTTACTTTCATTATATTGTACGATAGAACTATGTTATGGAATATTACAATGCATTGGATCTTTCATTATGGATACACATATTTGTCAGGTGAGTGATTTTTAATTTTACCCCTTTTATATTTTTAAGATTTATGTACTTATTGAAGAAGGCAATCATCTTTTACCACCTTTAAGCTGTAGCTCTGGTTTTTTTTCAAATATTATGACGAAGTTGACAATAAATTTGATTTAACGTGTTAAGTTAGAAATTTTTGATGAGTAGGTATTATTCTTAGCTGTAGGTATCTTTTCTTCAAGGACCAACTGATGGCATTTATATTTTAGCGACAATTTGCTTGATCGGCACTACAGGATACTGATTAACTATGCGTACTTCATTGGAACAGGAAAAAATGAATTAGTTCAAGAATGAAGCGGTTGCTTACGACAAAATAAATGAATATCGACATGTGTGTCCTTGAAAAAATATGAGAACTGCATAGTATAAATGAAATAATAGTAGTGCCACTAATTCTGATCTGCACGGATAAAATCACCCCCGCAGAGACTTTTCAATAGCTTACAAAAAAGTACTTTCAGGATGTAGAATGATACTACGCAACTGGAACTCATATGTTTAGCTTGCGTTTAAGTAAGATGATGGTAATATCTACCCTACTTGAGTATCACAAGTGAAGTTTCAGCATGTATAAAGACTGTGAGTTATCTACTTGTCTACCAAAGATGGATATAATTGAAAATGGAATTAATTTATTCCATAATGTTATCTGTACAAAAACTACTGTCATCCAATAAAACATCAAACAACCGTTGTTTAGGTTAAGACAGTTTTAAATACGACTGCATATTACTTAAAGTTGTATCTATCAGTCAAAGAAATTATTACGCATTTTAGGATAGATGTAGCTAACAACTGGTACATGAACTCAGTTACATTCAATTAGTTTGTTTCAAATCGAATGAATTCGGTCAGTTATTTTCTAGTAGTCTATGGATTTCACAAATATGTTATTTTATTTCCTGGACTATGATTCGTTTCTGTGATATGGAAGTTTTGATTGGTCAATGCAAATATTCAACTGGTGTTTTCGTACTGGTAATATTCTTTTCATATATATATATATATATATATATATATATATATATATATATATATATGTTTCAAGTAGTATTCATCACGGACTGATATGACTTGGAGAACCACTGACCCACTTAGTCAATGGGTATATATAAACATATATATGAACCATTTCGATATAAATGATACAGTCGTAAACCAAATTACCAAACTGTTTCGATAAACAAGGGAAATTAAAGTCTTGCTTTGAAAACTTTATGAGATATAATGGTGATTAATCAGCGTGGTAACATAAAAACACTGTTCTTATTTCTCCTTGGTAGTTATCACTCCGTATCTAATGTCAAAAATGAATTGTAAATCGGTATTTCTTATCTAATTAAATTAGGTGGTTTTATCGTTAATCCTGATTACTGAAGTTTAATCTGTTTGCATAGAAATCGAATCTTTCGCTTAGATAATGCAGTATAGTTTTAGGCCATATTATGCATATATGAATATAAAAATCCACTTGGATTTGACCTTATTACTACTGAAATACTCCACCAGCTAAACTACGAAACCACGTTCTGTGAAACTGTTGTTTGATTGACAGATGATTGGATGCTGGTCGGACAGTAGGCTGAGAGTGATACCATGTAGTGTAGCTGAGAGATACTTACTCGCAATATGGAATCGCCCATTGAAAACACTTGACTGTTGACTACTTCCCAAACCAAGCTGATTGATGATAAAAAAGATTGACAGGTGACCATCTCATATCATCTCTATCTCCGGTGAGATATTCGAATACCTATTGAGTGACTAGTATAACGCGCTGTAGTTCGCTGTACCCTATTATACGGCTAAGACCTGACCGCTGAAGAAAAGGTGATATAAATTAATCTCATGTTCCTGACTACATATATCTTCGTAGCTTTGTTCGTGTACGATAGAACCATCGCCTGAGCGATGTTGAGGTTAGGCGTATGGTATTAGGTAAGGGAAACAAGTGAGTCGGTGGAGTTGTGGAACTTCAATGACTGAGATGGCTTGGAAATGTGTTGCGCATGCTGGGCCACTGCCCACCTCGATGTTTAGTTCTAGAGGAAGTTGGGTTAAGTTGGAAGAGGGTTCAGGGTAACCAAACTAAGACTTTTGACCAGTTGATGAAGTCTCTTACTGTTGATCTGAGCCGTGTAGAGTGGTGCAGACGATAAAGAATTAGTAATTGGTGACTGCTGATGATTCGGCTGCAAATCTGTTACAGTGGTACGGATTTATTCATTGATGTTTTCTAAAGTTTGAAAATTTAAACTGACCATTTTTAAATTCCTTCTCCTCCCTTTCACCTTTGTCTGCTTCGATAAAAATTTTTCTCTGTGCACTTCCTTGCATTCTCTTGAGTGAATTGTGGCAAATTAAACAGATACACTTCTGTGTGAGGTTCCACATTAATCTGTCTACTATTCGGTTATTGTGGTGTATACTGTCTCTTCCTTGGTGAATAAGTATTTGCTGATAACTATGAAACTGTCTCTCTTTTGGCGATTGTCTACTGTCTTCAACGAGACGAGTGTCAGAAGAAAAAGTATCGGCCAACTGGCTTAGTTTTGTTTCTTTTCTTGCTATGGCTTATGCACAAAAGTTATGGCGAAGATGATATAATTATGAAATGCTCATCATAACTAATAGTCAAACAGTGATAATACTTAAATTCACAAATACTTCATTCTTTCCATTGTAATAGTTCTCCTTTGTGCCACTTGATAAAGTTATTGACAGTGCCGTTGGTACTCCAAATATTGTATAGTAGTTGTTTAATTGTTGTCCTGTAGACTAAAATTATTGGGTAATCCCTTCTTCAGTGTTTCGATGCTTATATCTAAGTTAGTTTTCGTACTTTCTGTAATCATTTTCATACCTTCAAAATAACCAATCATTTCTTTTTATAGTTTACTATTGGAGCGAAGTTTACTGTTTTGCTCAAGACGTTTGACAAAGTTGACAGCTTGTGTCATGACTGCTGTCTCATTGTTGTATCCAATTCAGTGGTAAGTCAGAGTTAGTATTTTTTTCCTTTTTTCCCCTGCATAAATGTCATTTTGCAGAGTTGTGGCTAATTGTTTTAAGCGTTTGACTTTCAAGTAGTGGATCCCTTGGTCTAACTCATACTCTACCTACTTCGGAGTTGGCAACCGAGTGATATCGTAAGCCCCTCAAAAAATGAATGTGTCTCATAACATAGTGCAGAGACATATATATACATGGTTGAGTTATTATTATTATTAAAAGGGGCATGGATGGCATCCTCTAACTCGCGTAGTCTCTAGCTCCGGTGAGATATCCGAATAGGTTTCGAATGGCAAGTATGCTATGCTAAGGAAAAGATGATAAAAAGAGATTTCAGGTTTCTGACCATATGTATCTTCGTAGTTTTTCTCGCCTATGATATTGAGGTTAGGTGTGGGGCACTAGGTAAGGGAGGTAAGTTAGTCTATGGGGTTGTGGATCTTCAGTGATTGAGATGGCTTGGATATGTGTTGCGCATGCCGAGCCACTGTCTGCGTTGAACGTGCAATGTTAGCCAAAATATAATTGAGTTTGAAGGAAGCTAAGGGTGGCCAGATGAAGTGTTAAACTCTGTTGGTCTGGGCCGTGTATATAGGTGTGAACTGCCTGATTAGAGAGTCCGTGAGACAGTAGAAATCAATGATTGGCGACTTTTGGAGACATGGTTGCAAATCGATTATAGTGGTGCAGATATGCAATAATGGTTTTCTAAAGTCAGGACATTTCTCTTGTCTTGATTTTCAAGTTCCTTCTTCTCCCATATGGCTTTGTCTGCTTTGATATCCCTATTTTCCTTACTCACTTATTTCTGTGAATGCGGTTTTAAATTGTGACAATGTGAACAGATTCACTTCCGTGTGAGACTCCACATTGATTTTATCTGTTTGTTTATTATCATTATTAATACTAATTTCAATTTTCTAAAACTAACATATTTCTCAACTGATTATTGAGTGTATTTTTAAAATGTTTGACTTTATTCAATTGAAGATTAGCACAATTTAGTGATGGATGACTCTTGGTTTACAAACGATAACATATCATATAACCTCTGTCAGTTCACGACATAGCGTTGCTATCATCCAAAGTCATCTGATGACATCCGCTTCCCTTCCAGCTGGTTGACTTCACAGGTCACGACTTCTCATTAGAACTTCGTGATATCCATCTGGAAGCGTATCATTGATGAGCCCTATACAGTAGTGCTTTTTTGTTGAGATGAATGGGGATTCCAATTTTGAGGTAGTGTTTATCACGGACTGACATCAGTTGGGTAACCATTGAAAACCAGGAAGCACTGGATAGCTGTTTCATTCTAGTACGAGACCCCTCAGCAGTGATAGTCACACTCTATCGTGAATTGATAGAAGTTGGAAAATGTGAACCACTGAGGACCGACCCAGTGGCTGAATGGTTAGGGTGTTTGTCGTGAAACCTGGAAGTCCTGAGTTCGATCCCTAGCCGGATTGTGAGTGCGTACTGCTGGGGAGTGCCATGCTGGGATGAAACAGCTGTCCATTGCTCCCGGGTTTTCAGTGACTCTCCAGTTGATGTCATTCTGTGTTGAATAGTAATTCATAATATCATATAACCGTCCAGCAAGTTACTATTGGTTTTTAAAACTTGTTGGGAATTGCTACTTTTGATGGCTTATGTGGATTTATTTGTAGGAATTAGCTGATGCATACACTGGATGATGTGACTTGGAATGACTTCCCCAAAAAGTTATTTCCTGTTTTTTATACATCTATTTATTTTATTTTATCATCCTGTTTTCAGTCTGGCTTTGTTCAGTCCTTTTTACCGTCTTCATCTTCTTGTGATGTTGAAAGTTGCATGCATTTCAACTGATCCAATGTTCTGTCAGGTTGTATATTATTCCGATTTGTTTGTCTGTTTGGTCTGTAGTAGAAAAATGGAACCGCCTCTCAAAAGCCAGGTTTACTAGAACATTAAGATTTATTATTTAAAGTAATTGCCACCAAAACAATTAATTTCCTTCATAAACTTCGACTAAAACATTAAGATATAATTTGTTTAAACCATGTAATGCATTTGCCCACCCCTTTTCAAACAATCTGATCATCAAGAGAAGGGATAGCAACATAAAAAGAGGTCAAGTAGGAAGGCTAAACTAATAATAATAAAGGTTAAATAACAATGGAAATTAATAGAGCAGAAATAACAGCACATCGAACTTGGTTTCAGAGTTGAATTCACCAATAGAGATTTAATGTGATAACAAATTGTTTTTGAGCACTCAAAGGTTGTTTAAACTTCCTAATAGCTAAGCCCTCAACAAACTTAAGGATCCGTCCCCAACACGTTTTGTAAATAGATCCAAAGGAAGTAGCAACGTTCATCTTCTGACCTATCTCAATGTTTTGCGATTGAAGAACTTGGACTTCTGTTACCAACGTTTATGGGTTCAGGTGATTCAGTTCGCCACTTTGGAATATGCTCTGAGACCTTCATTTGAATGGATCTATGAGTCCTCTCTATGTATGTGTCACCACATCTACATTTGAATTGACAGATGCATTGGGTTGTGATATTGTCGTTCACATGCTGTTACGGTCTGGGAGAATATACAGACTTGGTTTTTTCCATTAGTCGGATTCTAGCTGCATAGTAAGTTCTTCTAACAGCAGTTTAAGGATTGTTCCATGAGAGTCACCTTTGTATGGAAGACTGGTGAAGACATCTTTCTTCAGGACAAAGTGAAGAGCAGGTTTTGGCGTCCTGGTTATTTCGTGTTGGCTAGTAAATTCTGGTCGATAGTTTTCTCTCGTCTTGCGAAGTATCTTCTGTGCATATTCGTTGAATTCTATTGAATAAACTAACGCTCGGTTTGACAAATAATTCGGATATCGTTCCAGACAATTTATGTTTTCTTATTGTCTTGTCGAAATACTGAGATTGTTCATAAGTGAGTTATAAAAGGCTAGATTAAGCGCGATGTTTTACTTCAGTTGACTCCTTATCCTGATTTCACACAAATATTAAGAGCCAATTGAAAAGGAATGGAATTCGCAACGCACTCAGGTGTATACTTTCCGAATTTCCGCTGCGAGAATTACATACCTTAATTATCTGTACTCTCGTTTTATTTTGAGACGTATGAAATTTGGTTTTAGCCAACCTTTTACCTTCTTTCAATCGGATGGTCACTCAACTGCTTTTATGGTTATTTGATTCATTTTTGAGATGAATGGTGATTTTTAATTTAGAGGTAGCATTCGTCATGGGCTGACATTGGAAATCTGGGAGCAATGGACAGCTGTTTCATCCCAGCATGGCACTCCCCAGCAGTACGCACTCACAATCCGGCTAGGGATCGAACTCAGGACTTCCAGGTTTCACGACAAACACCCTAACCATTCAGCCACTGGGTCGGTCCTCAGTGGTTCACATTTTCCAACTTCTATCAATTCACGATAGAGTGTGACTATCACTGCTGAGGGGTCTCGTACTAGAATGAAACAGCTATCCAGTGCTTCCTGGTTTTCAATGGTTACCCAACTGATGTCAGTCCGTGATAAACACTACCTCAAAATTGGAATCCCCATTCATCTCAACAAAAAAGCACTACTGTATAGGGCTCATCAATGATACGCTTCCAGATGGATATGATGAAGTTCTAATGAGAAGTCGTGACTTGTGGGATCAACCAGCTGGAAGGGAAGCGGATGTCATCAGATGACTTTGGATGATAGCAACGCTATATCGTGAACAGATGGAAGTTGGAAACTATGTACCACTGACCTGCGATCCAGTGACTAGTTGGTTAACGCGTTCACCATGAAAGCTGAAGGTCCTGACTTCTATCCCTAGCCGGGTTGTGGTTAGGTTATTTGTTTATTCTTCGCTCTAAAGAAGCCATTTGATCGCTCATATTGTGTTATTTAGCCACAGATTGTCAGGCAAATCGTATCCTAGTATCATCTATTTTCAGTAAAGGTGCTAGTATAATAACTGTGAGAATAGTTTGTTGTCAATAGCACAAGTTAGTCACATGAGGTGTGTGTTCCTCTCCTCTCTGTTTCTGATTTCAGAGAAATCATACACTCTACTTGCTTACCATTATGGCCAATGAAATATAAACAATCTGTTTAGTTTTTCTCAAGTATTTGTTAAACTTAATTTCTTTTTTTCACAGGCACTCTTCAATAAGAGTCTACAAGAGATGAATGATTATTAAATGATGAAAATAAACATTTTTAATACTATAATTTATCAAGAGTGTTTAAAAACTGCTTGATCTAGAATTTGACTAATCAATCAAATATGCATCTCTCGAGAGCTTAGTAATTTACTATTTTCTTCCAATTTTCATATTATCATATGATCATTTTTTGAAAAAAAAAATAAGGAAATTAACTTTGTACATTTGCTCTCTTGCCTACAGCAATAGTGTACAAAATGAATTAATTTTCACTATAAAGATGTATAAATACAGGTGACTTTAACGGCCACCCTAGCAACAACTGAAATAACCAATTATTATTATTTTTTCCTTTGGGTTCCTAGTGGAACATAGGGCTTCAGTAGCACGCATCCATTGCACTCTGTTCTCTGCAGTCTTTTGAACCTCGCTCCGCTACTGTCCACAAGCTTTCATTTCTTCCTCAAAGCATCTCCTCTATGTCACACTTGGACACCCAACTCGTCGTTTCCTCTTTGGATTCCACTTGAGTGCCTGGCGTGTGATGTCCCCAGTCGGCCTTCTCAGTGTATGCCCAATCCATCTCCACTTTCTTCTGCCGCATGTTTGTTGAGCGATAGTTTCTTGGTTGGTTGGTTGCCAAGCCATAGTTCCTTGCTGCTTATTCTTATTCTTTCTGGCTATCTGATCTCCATCTTCAGTATCGAGTGTGACACACAGTTTCTGAACCATATAGCAGCAGTGACTTGACTGAACTGGTGTTGAAAATCTGGATCTTGTTCTTTGTGTTAAGTGCGAAATAACCAATTAGATTTC